AAAAAGAAAAAAAAAAAAAAAAAAAAAAAAAAAAAATCTGATGCTGGAAAAGATTATGAGACAATTATATTAAATGATGTAGAAAAGAAAAGAATAAGGAACATTTTTCAGGACAGCCTCGTTTCCAGATAACTCCCTTTCAAAATGCTACCTTACTTTCTGACCATTATCACAGCTATCAGAACAGGTAACTGCCTATAATTTTTCACAACTATCTATTGCCTCATTAATCATTTATATACAGATTTTTAATATTTTTATATATCGAATGATCTTCATTCATTAAAAGATGTATAACTTAAAAGTCCTTTAAACTTTGAACTCGAGATAGACCCCAAAATAGGATTTTTAAAGTGATTTCAGTTGTTTTATTGTTTGTTAAGATTTAAAATACATTAAATGATGTCTCCCTTAAATTTGTGATATGAGTAGTACATAAGACAGGATAGAACTAATGAAGTTATTCTTATTTATTCAATTTATTAAGAGTAGTCATCATGATTTTATTAAAGGGAGCATTAAGGATAAGTATTTCACCATTTTTTCTGATATTTATTTGACTAATTCCAAAAGAAATGTATTCAATATTAGGAAAGAAAGTGTCATTTTGATTGAAGCAACTTCAGAAACAATGCTGTTATGGAGGAGTGTAAGTTAAATAATGAAGAGAGAAGAGATCAAAACAATCTTTGACAAGAAGAAACTGTAGTCTTTGCTTCAAAGAATGATGTACATTTACTACAGGTGAGATCAGCAGACTCTCACATCCCAGGACATAAGAATCATGCTATAAATAAAATTTCTGCTATACTTACATAGCATTATAGATAACAATATAAACTTTGCTACCGTTGTACTACATTCTAAATATTCTATGAAATGTTTTCTTTATTTTTTGTACTAGCCCTGTAAGGTGTATTTTAAAGTATAATTAAAGAAGAGAACATGCAGTTGTCCCTCAGTATCCATGGGAGATGGGACATTCCCCCTTCCCTATAAAAGTCTGAGGATGCTCAAGTCACTTGCATAAAATGGCATAGTATTTGCATATAACCTGGGCATATCTTCCTGCATACTTTAAATCATCTCTAGATTACTTATAATGCCTAATAGAATATAAATGCTGTGTAGATAGTTCTCATACTATATTGTTTAGGGAATAATGGCAAGAAAAATTCTGTATGAATCTGTATGTAAAAGCTACAGAAAAGGAACGAATATTTCCAGCACAGCCTAGTTTCCAGATAGCTCCGTTTCAAAATGCTACTCTATTTACTCCCTGAGTATTACCAAAGCTACTAGAACAGGTAGTATATAATATAGTATATAATATGTAATAGCCTCTAATTACAAGATATAGTTCAGTAAAATGGTAACATTTTTTATCTACAGTTGGTCGAGTCCACCATACAGAGGGCTAACTAACTCTGTGTGTGTATATCTCTGTGTGTGAGGGTCAAAGAGATAGAGGGAGGAAAATAAAGAGAGAGAGGGGGGGGAGAAAGAGTAAAGATAGAGAACGTGAGAGATAAAATAAGCTAAGTATCCCAATCTAAATTCATACACTAGAAAGTCAGAAAGTCAGGATTCAAACCCAGTCCTACAGATCGCAGCCTGTGCTCTTACCACTGTGCCATGGTGCAAATCTAAAATACCAACTTCACGTGGAAGAAAGTCAAGCATTTAGCTTAGGCTGAAGAGAGTGATTGTGTTATGAAAACTTACTGTAGGAAATAATTCAGCTTTGCATGTGTTGTATTTATTGGGGTTTTCCTTGTACTCTTAATGACAAATTGATTATAAAAGTGTACCCTGCTGACATTCAATATTGTAATTCTAAAAGAAATGTTAAAAAGCAGCTTGGCTGTAAAATGTACTCTTCTTTATCAACTTTTACATAAACAGAGTAGAATGTAAGGATGCCTCTTGGCTTCCTTGGTTGTAATACATTTTTTTAGCTTCAGTACAATTAGTTGTGTTTATTAACATATATATTTTATGTTTACATTTGTTATATTGAGGTATAGTTTATATAGAATTATTTTAATTTTTTATTTAAGTTTTATTTAGTTTTTAGACAGAGTCTTGCTGTCATGGTCCTCCTGCCTTTGCATTCCCAAGTAGCTGGGACACCACAGGTATGCACCACCATGCTCAGCTCTTTTTTTTTTTTTTTTCTTGTTTTTAGATTGGGTCTATGTTGCTCAGGCCAGCCTAAAGCTCATGATTCCTGTCTCAGACTCCCAAACTCTGGGATCAAGGGTACATGCTACTGTGCTTGGCCTTCAGGTTAGACAAGAAATCGAACAATGCGTCCCGTGTAGTCCCCGCCTGCAGAGTACTGTGTTTTAGCAGCATATACCATGTAATGTGGCTGGGCCAGAATGTTCTTCTTTTTAAGTAAAATTTAAATAAGAATGAACTTTTGGTTTATTATTATTATTATTATAGCTATTATTTTTAAATGACAATTCATAATTTTATTCATTAATGAATTAATTATGAACACATCCCACCATGGGTGCTACCCTCACGACCTGAAGAATACACTTATTTATTTATTCTTTCTTTATAATTTTATCTATTCTTTTCAGAGATTTTGCTATAGGGTGTGTGCACTCACTGGAGAGACAGAAAGAAAGAAATTACCCTCCATGGGGCATGGTCACCCAGTAATCCCTTTTAACTTAGAAGGTAGTTAAGTCTCATGCCTATGGAGGATATTAAGAGATAGAACTGAGACCAAGTATAATTCTGAATCCTTTTTTTTTTTTTTAATTTTAGTTGTCAGAGGGCATGCATGCTCACCTAAGAGGGGCAGAGAGACAAAGAAAGAAAGCATTCTCTAATGGAGTGAGGTTATGCCTCAATCCCTTCTCCTTCATTTCTTTATTTTGTTAGGATTTGGGGCATACATGCACATGTGCCTAGGTTGTTTTCAAGCTACTAGGCTAGAATTCACATTGTAGTCAGCCATATGGCATTCACCTCCTTTAACCTCTAGACTACAGGGTAAGCCCATTTCTGAATATTTTATTCTGTATAATTGTACAATAATGATCCATTTTTTAGAGACATATTTATTTCCTTGTTTTTGTATTACTACTGAACAGGACAAACACAAAGATTTAACTCCTATAGGATCAGCAGTTAACGTAATGGCTATGTCGCTGGACTCCTATGTAGTTGACTGCGGTTCGAGTCCCAGACCCGGTGGCTTAAAACTCACACCAGGCATGGGTGTGTGCATGCCCAAGATCCTGAGAAGAGAATGGAGGAGAAGGGATTGTGGCGTGACCATCCCTCCTGGGGGGTGATTTCTCGCTTTCTGTCTCTCTGTCTCTCTCTATCTTAACTACCTTCTAAGTTAATAAAATAATAAATTTTGTGTATTTATAAAATGAAGAACTAATAAGGGTCACATCAAAGTATTAATATAACATGACACTCATTTTTGTGAAGAAGAGCTGGGAAAGGTTACTACAAAACAACTATATGATCTGAAATAGTGCAATTTTAAATTGCATTTGTACATTTGCTATATCCCTAGAACTTAACAGTTACACGGTCTACAATACTGATGAAATTCAGATAGAGAGTATTGTTTTCTATCCGAAGCTCCACACTTTGTTAGGCATATCATCTAGCTAGAATACACCTAACTAGTACAATGGAATCATGATTATATGGATTAGAGACACTCCCATGCAAGGAAAACTAAAGAAGTCAAAAAGCGTGATCAAAAGAGATGACATGAATTGGATAAGCCATAGAATCACATTGTATATGTGTGTGAGTGAGTGTCTGAGTATGTGTGTGTGGCTACCAATGTAATAATTTAAACAAATAAGTTAAATTTATGGATAAATATACTTTCCGAATGTTAAGAAAAATGTTCTAACAATTAAAACTACTCAGCTCTGAAACTTTATAAGGTTATAAACTCCCCCTCAGTGGAAGTGTATAGAGGGTGGCTGGCCACCTGTCAGGGGTGTGATGAGCAGAATTCTCAAGTAGATAGGTGGGTGGATAAAAAGATCTCTGAAGTGTCTGCAAATCTCTGCCATTTTAATAAAGGACAAAACAGCAAGAGAAGCTGTGTCTATTTTTTTTTTTTTTGCAAACTCAGTGCCTACGATGGAGTAAAGAACAAAATGAGGTTTCCATAAATATATGTTGAACAAAACTGATAACAAGCAGATAATCTATCAATAATAGTAAAAGACATATCTGAGAAGCAAATGAAAGAAAAACTCATGGAAATAGAAAGTAGCAGGCATCCCATTTTCTGGGACCCCTCTCTTCTTGGGAGCTCTGTTTTTCCTTCCCTTTTCTTTAATAATCCCCCCTTTGCTATACCTACAAAAAAAAGAAAAAAGAAAGAAAAAAAAGGGATAGAAAGCAGACAATTTAATCTAATCCATTTTTGTCACGTGTGATTAAAGCTGAATGAAATTCTTAGGCTGCATGACATTTATTTACCAAGCCGCTTGAAGAAATTCTCCTCTTCATCTCTTCCATTTTCCATTCCACTCCCTGGTCCACCTTCTGACAGCTTCACAGCACTGGTGAATTTGACCTGAGGGGGAAAAAAAGTAGTCAGATAACTAAATTCAAAGGCAAATCCTTGTGGCTAGACTAAACCTTGATTTGAAAAATAAATTGTTTAGATTATGAAGATTGCTTCGCATTTCTTGTTTGCATATTAAGTTAATTTAGTCAATGTAGTTTATTTCCATATGCTAAAATGACATTATTGTGAGTTAGAGCAAGATTCAGTCAGAAATTGAAAGCCACGTGAAAGGCACTATGAAAATATTTAGTAAACCATTGAAATCTTCTTAGAGTTTAAGTATGATAAAGTCCCACTCAAACTCATGAACCACCATAGTTTTCTGCTATATCACAACTGAGAATCAGACCAAAGTGAAAGATAGCTAAAAAAGAATATTTCAAAGCTTTGTGAAAGCACCAGTATGATTTGTGGAGGGCACTATAATTAAAGTACAATGATATGTTTCTCTTCCTGAAAATTGAAATGTGTTACTTATCTTGCCTTTAAGTCAAAAGTACTCAAAAATTTCAGCATAGCAAGAAAGCTATGACCACAGACTCTCAAGTACTTGACCAGGTTTTTGTTTTTGTTTTGCAAAGAGGCGAAAGAGATATTCTAAATATATTTTCTCAATGTCCTAGAGTCTTGGTGTATTACTTTTATAATTTTTAAAATATTACTTTTAAAATAGACTAGATAGAAGAGAGCTGGTTTTAGTGAGATTTGAAAAAGAAAGGATACAAGCAAGTAATTGGTATATATAAAAACATAACTTTTACCATATGCTGAAAATTAGGTGTGCAAGTGACCAGGCCATGAGTCACCCACAGGTAAATAAATGCATGACAGGGAAGGCTCTTACAGGAAAGACTCTTACAGGAAACATGTTTAACTGAGAATCCTTGCCTATTCCAAACCATGTGCTACCATAATGCTTAACATGATGAAGCATCTTGTGGTAAAAGTCATCCTAAATTTCTTTTTTTTTTGGAGAGGTTTTTGCTATTGGGCACATGTGCTTGCCACAAAGACAGAGAGAGACAGAGAGATAGAGAGTGAGAAATCACCCCCACACACACACCCAGGGGGGATGGTCACGCCACAATCCTTTCTTCTCCGTTCTCCTCTCAGGATCTTGGGCACGCATGCACACACGCCCGGCATGAGTTTAAGTCACCAGATTTGGGACTCGAACCACGGTTGGCTACATGGGAGTTCAGCAAACAGCCATTACTCTAACTGCTGGTCCCATCCTAAATTTCTTTATTTCTTTCAGTAAGGAGAACGGTTTAGATGGTGCTAAAAGCATTAGAAAGAGGATGAATGGTGTGTGTGCATTAACATGTTAAAGTAGTTAAGATAAGATTACTAGACTGTAGACAAGAGCTTGAGGTATCTATAATTTCTTGTCAGTTAAAAGTAAAAATATCTGAATAATAATGCCAATAGACATCTCCATATCTGCATTATAATTTTATATATTTTTGCCATATTTTTCCTTACTATGACAGCCTGCTACTTAAACATGTTAGTTTCTATCATCTGTCTAAATTTCCAAAATCCATTCAACTTGTGAGTTTCTTCAACATTTCCTTACTTGGCCCCTCCAGGTGTTTAGCGCGTCTCAGTCCTGACATTTTCCTGTCAGTGACTGTAACATTCACTTATGCAAGTCACGTCCTGTTTACCTTGGAGCTTTGCCTGATGAAAGACAAACGGTCCACAGAGCTGATGTCCATTAGGTCCTCTACACCATCTGCCAGTCCCGAGAGGGAGGATCGTTTCAGCCAGTTTCCTAGTTAATATTTTTTTTAAAAAAAAAATTAGAACAATAAAGCATCTTTTCTCAAGCAGATTATACAGAAATGCCAGTGTGTACTCAACGAGCAATGAAAGTCACATGGCTTGATAAACATAGCAGTGAAAACAAATAGTTTTCCGTGTATGGGCTTCAAAGCAATGTTCAGTGCTGGACAGCAAGATTACATGAACAACAAAGATTGGGACAAAAAAAGCCTGATCCTCTTCAGTGCATGAAACTGTAATCTATCCAGTTATCCTTGAATGTTTTCACATGTCTAAGTCCTGTTGACTTTAACTCCTAAATGCCTCTCAGATTTGTCTGCTTCTCTCTCATGACATGGCCACTACCCAGTCCAAGCTTCCATTGACTTAAACTTGAACTATTTGGCAGATTTCCATCTGGTGTCTCTCAGCTACTCACACTCCCTCCAATATGATTTCCATGTGGTGATCTTTTAGAAAAATTTGCCTATTTGTGTCACTCTTCTGTTCCATGTCCCAGCTTGCATCTCTAGGGGGGATAAAGAGCCTCTACTGTACTGCTACAGTCCTGCAACCATGCCTCCCCTTGGGTCTGTTCTTCCAATTCCCTCCATCCTAATACTTCAGCAATTACAACCTGGAGTGATCTCTTTCTCCTTCCCCTAAATATTCTGAAGATATTAATATCAGTGTCTCCACGAAATTTTTCCTGATTCCTGTTTTTGTTTTGTTTTTCATAAAATATATACTGTAACTAAGTTGTGTCATTATCTGCTTTAGTAACTGACACTCTGTCAACTGCAAGGTCAGCAAAGTTGAGGGGCTATGCGTTTCTGCTCACTACTTAATCCTTGATGCCTAAGGTAGTGTTTGCACACAGTAAAGGCATATAGAAGAGTTTGGGAAATAATTGCAGAGAAAAAAATGAATGAATGAATATAAAAGCAGCAAACCTAAGCTTTGTGACTTGAGAGCTTTGCTTTCCTCAACCCTGCCAAGTGCTGCTCTGATTGTGAGCTGATTTGAGGACATGGCAAGAAATAAGAGAATCCATAAATACAGACATACTTTTACCTATGGGGAGTTTAAGCTTCTTTCGGAGGGAAATTCTGCGAGACCGAGAGCGGGCACGCCGATCAGAGGTGGTCCCTGAGTGAGCAGTGGTGCATTCTGAAGTGTCCTGCTCAGACTGGCTGCTGGTGTCACTTGCTGCACTCTGGGATTTGAACATCTTGCGCCAGAAATCTTTCCGCCCCAGGTTGCCCCCTTGCATTTGTTCATCACTGTAAACAAGCAGAGGATATGGTAACTGCTTGACAACACCCGAGAAACTCTCCTGAGCTTCCTTCAACTGCCTGTCAGTGATATTTAGGCAAATCATGCAGAATGACTTTTGACGGGCTAGGATGTGAGAAGAGTAGGCATGGGAGTGGAAGAAAAGACTAAAGCTGACTCTGCCCTCTTAAAAACAAGTCGTATCTTAGCTATCAAACTGAGGTGTTCTTTTTGTCTCCAATTTTAATAAAAAATAAGTATTACTGTAGGTATTCACCTACAGGTGTGAGTCATAATAGCAGAAGCATGTAAAATGTCAGTAAATATTTAACCTTTAAAAAATTTTCCTGTGACTGTGTAGTGCTGTTTCTCTCTTTCTACTCTTTCTAAATTCTCACACACAAAAAAATATTAATTGAAGGACTAGATAAATTAAATATGACCTTCATACCCAAGAAATACATAATCCTATAGCCAATCAGTTCAAGAAACTTAAGCAGGATTTGAAAGTAAAAAATAAGCACAACTCAATAGGACAAATAGGAACACCTGCAAAGGGATTTTTTTTTTTTTGAGAGGTTTTCGCTATAGGGCACGTGCGCTCGCCAGAGACATAGAGACAAAAAGTGAGAAATCACCCCCCCAGGGGGGATGATCACGCCGCAATCCCTTCTCCTCCACTCTCCTCTCAGGACCTTGAGCACGCACGCACACGCGCCCGGTGTGAGTTCTAAGCCACCAGGTCCGGGACGCGAACCGCGGTCGACTACGTGGGAGTCCAGCGACATAGCCATTACGCTAACTGCTGGTTCCCCAAAGGGATTTTTGACTATGAAAGAATAAAAAGACAAGTGGCCAGTACTATGAAGAGTTTAATCTCATTAGAAATAACAATCATTTAAAAAGTCAGCTGAAAGGAGTTTCCTGTTTTCACTCACTAAATTGGCAAAGATTAAGAGAGAAAAGAAAAAACAATAGTTGATATCATACTACCAGTAGATAGATACATACTGCTAGGAGGTAGATAGAATGGGTCACATAGTTTAGAAATGTGATTTGGTAATATATTACCCAAAGTCTATAGCAACATCCTTGACAGAGAAATTAGATTCCCAGGAAGTACTCATAAGGAAATGATGAGACAACATAATTAGATGAAAGTCAAATACCAACATATTATTGGTCAACAATGAAAACATGGAAACAATCTACATGATCACCTCTATGGAAACAGTTGAATAAGTTATGGGACTTCAATATGGTGATATTACTGTGTAGTCATTAAAATCTTATTTTAGAAGATTGTCATTACGGAAAATGTTCATGATATATGAAAAAAGTTAGACGGTGATTAGGTTTTATCAAGATGACACCAGTTTAATAAGAGAAAATGCAAATATGAATATGTGTCTGAGTGTGGGTTTATATTTATACATGCTCAAAAATTAACCCAATATAATATGCCAAAAGTTTACAGAGGAAAGCTCACATTGGTGGTATTTTGACTTTTAAACTATGTTCCCTTTATACTTTTCTATGTTTTTCACATTTTTCAGCTTGAGTAACACATATTACTTTTTTCATTGGGAAAGCAAAAGTTATAGAAAATACTCTTGCAACGTGATGAAATTTATTTCTGGGGTTTTATGTAATGTTTTGCCTACAAGCTTTCAGGCTGAATTGACCCAAAATTCAACAGTACTGTGTAAGGTAATCATTTTCTAGAGTTATTTATATGGTGATCCAGATTTTGTCTCTAAAAATCTCATCAGAATACTAAATACTTTTTAATTTTTATTTTTAAACTAGGACATTTTGTTGATCACATATGGTATGAATTTAAAATCAGTTTTCCAGAAGTTGACTTCTCAGTTACTTTTTATCAAATGATCACAGTGTATGTAACATTTTATGTATGATATGATGATGAGTTTAGGACTACATGGTCTGAGTGGGAACATCCAGGGAGACAGTAATCAATCAACCTTCTTAGTAAAATGTTCCATCAGCTCTGTCCAATGGGTGTGTGTCAATAATGAGTTATAGAGGGACCAGCAGTTAGCATGATGACTATGTTGTTGGACTCCCATGTAGTCAACCGTGTTTCACATCCTGGACCCAGTGGCTTAAAATTCACGCCGGGCACATGTGCATGCGTGCCCAAAATCCTGAGAGGAGAATGGAGGAGAAGGGATTACAGCGTGGCCATCACCCTGGAAGGGGGGGATGATTTCTCATTTTCTGTCCCTCTGTCTCTCTCTGTCTGTCTAGCGAGCGCACGCGTCCTGTAGCAAAAACCTCTCCAAAAATAAAAAAATAATGAGTTATAGACAATGAGCACATAAAGCCATTTTAAATATTACTCAGTTAATTTAACTATTACTTAAGAAGGAAGATGAAACAAAAGGAGGGAAGGAAAGAGAAAGAGAAGGTAGAAGAGAAGCCAAGATCACGCATAGTAACCACCTACCTACTATAGTGCTAAACTCAATGATTGGCATACTCACCTCCAGGGCCCACTTGGATCAAGGAAAAACTTCATATTTGACATTTTATAACATATCTTCAAGCAAAAAGATTTATGTAGAGCTATATTTAAAAATGTGTCTTCATTCAAGGAGGAAAAATTGACACATGCAAGTGCTAGGAAGCTAGGTGCTGTTACTAAACACTGAAGAGAGAATATTTTGAAATAGAAAATGTAATCGCCTTTGAAAATAGATTGCTTTTTAAAAAATATTATACAGTTGGTTTTTTTAAAAAAGAAACTTTATTTATTTATTTATTTATTTATTTATAATTTGGTCAGAGAGGGACAGAGAGAGAGAGAGAGAAAGGGAAAGTGAGAAAGCAAGACACCAGATCTAGGACTCAAACTGCCATCAACTATGTGGAAGTCCAGCACCCTTAACCACTACGCCACCTGCCAACCCCGACTGCTTTATTTTTTAATCCAATTTTCTTATGAGATCATTCTTATTGATGAGATCAGTTCCTGCTGTTATTTTGGGAAAACAAAATCCTATCTTCTTTTGTGGGAAGAATTTCTACGTATAAAGCTTTTTAACTAGTCTGTGGTTATTCACCCACAGAACTTTGTCTTTCATATTGAGCTTTTCTTTTTTTGTGTGTGCTTATGTTTGGAGTGTTATGGTGTTCTTATCAACTTTCTTAAAGGAAAAACTAAAACTCAATTTTTTTTTTTTTGGAGTGGTTTCTTGCGCATGCACTCGCCATACAGACAGAGAGAGACAGAGAGACAGAAAGCGAGAATTCATCCCCCAGGGAGGATGGCCACGCCACAATCCCTTCTCCTCCATTCTCCTCTTGGGATCTTGGGCACGCATGCAAAGGTGCCTGGCGTGAGTTTCAAGCCACCAGGTCTGGGAGGAGAACCACGGTCAACCACATGGGAGTCCAGAGACATAGCCAGCTAACTGCTGGTCCCAAAACTCAATTTTGGTAAAGGAAGTTAAAACAAATGCTTAATGATAATCTGACAATTCTATCCTTTCATCTACTGATGGAGTCATTCATTTACTCATGAGTATATATTAAGTACCTACCATGAGTCAAGTCTCACCTTGGCACTGAGGCTACAACAATAAGCAAAAAGTTACACAGTTCCCAAATTCACATAGTTGATTTATTTTCTCCTTACCTTTCTCTGCCTATTTAAAGGCAGTCACTAAGATTTTGAAGATGTATAAGAACTGTGTGAGCTTTCTGTGTTTTTTTTTTTTTTCATGTTTTTGTTTACTAGTTTTGGATTATCAAGGTCCTGTTTCATGGACCCATTCCAGCTTTGATTTCCCTGATTATGGAGAAAGGAAACCTGGCCTATGTTGCAGAAATCCTGGAAGAACAACCACTTAATACTGAATAAGACTTTTGCAAAGTAGAATGGTATATCAAAATGATGTATGAGTTTTAAATATTGATCACTCCACCTGTGGGCAAACAGTTCTCGAAAGAAGCATAAATACAAGTGAGCCTTGCATAGAACTAGACTATATATTCAGTGTGTACAGTAACCCTTACATTTTCTGGGAGCACTAATTTAAAAACATTGAAATGAATATCAGGGGAAGACTGAGGTTTTTCAGCTAAACCTGAGCAGGAGAGACAAGTTTAAATTACTTCTTCTTTTTTTTTTTTTTTGGAGAGGTTTTAGCTATAGGGCGCATGCGCTCACCAGACAGAGAGACAGAAAGCGAGAAATCACCCCCCATGGGGGATGGTCACGCCTCAATCCCTTCTCCTCCATTCTCCTCTCGGGATCTTGGGCACGCACGCACATGCGCCCGGCGTGAGTTTTAAGCCACCGGGTCCGGGACGCGAACCGCGGTCAACTACATGGGAGTCCAGCGACATAGCCATTACGCTAACTGCTGGTCCCAAATTAATTCTTTTTTGAAAAGCTGCATTGAACATATTGACTGACAGCCATTCAACTAAAGAATATTTGTCAGTGATTGTAACCAAGCAGGTAGATGACTCTTCAACTCTACTCAGCATGCTATTTTTCAAGATTTAGCTACAGGAACATGCATGAAAGGCAAGTGGGGAAGGAGTGGAGATGAGAAGTATAATGAGAGAAGTTTCTATAAGAACAAGGCTGGTTATTGTGACTTAGGCTTGGAGAAATCCATACCATTGGGGATAAAATATAAAGGGCAAAAGCAAGACAATGTTCAAAAGAAATGACAAACAAGCAAACAAACAAAAAAAAACCCAGCAGCTTGGAAAATAGAGCTGCTTGTAGTGTAAAGTGCTTAACCCTTCACACTGAAGACAGAACCAATGTTACTTACTGCTCTGGAGTCTGTGAGGGTCGACCAGACATAAAGCTGCGACATTCTTCAGGTGCAGAGGACACCTGACCTTTATCCACAATGCTTCCTGCCTCTGACCTATGCAAATGATGCATTCCACCAGTCACAACAGATGATAGCACTTCTTAATACTTCATACACTTTTTAAAGCAAAATACTCCATTACAGACAACCAATATGGCCAACAAACCTTATGTCGTGAGTCTATGTTGTATGGAATTTATACCTTACCACTGAACTCATGACCTAGCTGTCTTATTGTTTAACAATACCACCATTACTGCAGAGTCAAGCAGGATTTTAAGTTTGGAGTTCCTCTTAATGTTTGTATATGGAATTGAATATATAATAGGTATAAAATAAATGTGCATTTGCTTGAAAGCAAAATGACAAGGTACCACTGAGCAATTTGTCTTCATACATTTAGAATATCGCTTTCTGAGACAAGATGATGTGGTATCAGTAATTGCTTTACCTTTCTGAATAAAAATGTAAATTATGTATAGAAGAGACTAAATTACAGATAGCATTCTACCATATAATTAACAACTATAAAATAAAGTTCAAGTATACCAAAGTTCAAGAACAATTTAGCTCTGGTTCATACAGGGGCAACATTTACTTGACACTACATTCATTCCTTTTCTAAGCCATAGCCGAATCACATCAGTAATACTTTTACAAGATAATTATACTATTCCTACCTTGACGTTATATATACTACATTGGGAAACACGTGGACAGTACAATAAAGATTAGGTTCTACTGACATGAGACAAACACTACTATTCAGAGAGCTCAAGCTTCCAACCTTTTGCCGCCTGCAGGCTTAGGTTCCTGTTCATTCTCTTCCACCTTTTTCCCTGGTGCTAACTTCTCGGCACTGTCAAGCAAAGCACTGAGGGCCACTCTCCTGAAGACATTCCCATGAGCCTCTTTGATAAACTGGACCAACTGACGGATGTCACAATACAGTCCCTGTGAGGAGGAAAAAAAGACATTTGTGGAAAGAAAAATACTTTTGTGATCCAATCATTTTCACAGCATGAGATGGAGAAGGTAATTTCTTAGGCTTAGATGAGAGTAGGAATCATAAAGAGAAGACAATTTAGAACTGTGGAAACCAATGGTATACTCCTTTTGTGGTCTTCCTACAAAACATTACCAAGGACTTTGCCAGTCATTCTTAGTTTGAAAAGAAATGGTTACCATGTTTAATATTCAGAAAGTTGGCTATATCATTAGACATGCATCGACTTATATTTTAACCACCAGGGACCAACAGTTAGCGAAATGGCTATGTCGCTGACTTCTCATGTAGTAGACTGCGGTTCAAGTCCCGGACCCAGTGGCTTAAACTCACAATGGGCGCATGTGCATGCGTGCCCAAGATCCTGAGAGGAGAATGGAAGAGAAGGGATTGCGGTGTGGCCATCTTCCCTGGGGGGTGATTTCATGCTTTCTATCTCTCTGTCTCTCTCTGTCTTTCTGGCGAGTGCA